TAAAAAAATTGGTTTGATATTTGTTATTCCTTCAAAATGTAAAATCATATAAAATATAATTGAATTGGATTATAGAGAGCTAACATACATTGATAGGCCAATATGGTGCAGTGGTATAACATGTCCTCCATCTTAGTGACCACTAACATGTCCTCCATCTTAGTGACCACCGGTTGACTCTTGTTGCCCACTTTTTAACTTATTTAACATTTTATTAGAAGTTCAACTAACAACATGCACCAGCCCAAAGTCTTGAGAAATAAAAGGTTTGTCTGGTCCGGGTTCAAACCGAGTTTTAACATTATAGTTTAACAAACAGAAAATAATCTAGTTAGATAAAACTTATTTTGAAAAATATTTATTAGTTTAACTCTTCGGTCATTCTTTTCATGTCCTTAAATATGTTAAAATTTCAAAAACATAAAGGAAGAAAAAGCTATAAAAAAAAAAGAGAATAATATAAAAAGTTAGACAGTTGGTCCATCACAATAATGATTTATGAATAATATGAATTATTGTAAAATAAATTAAACTATTTTAAAGATAAATGATCACTTTGGTCTTTTAAAATATTTTGAATTTTAATCTTTATATAAAAATATATGATCTCAAAAAGCACATGTTTCTAACTGTTCGGCTCAATAAGTTAAAATAATTGATTTACTAGTTAATAATGACTCGATAGTCAATAAAATATATTGGTTGTGTGTGTTTTTGCATGTGATTAAGCATATTAGGTAGTGTTTGTGATAATAACACAACAACAAAATGGATGCTCAAAATAGAATGCCGAAAGAACAACATCAAAGTGTGTAAAGTCCTAGACTTCAAAGAAGGGATTGAATTGATGTTTAAAATCTTTAAATGCACAACAAAATTGTTTTACCCCTTGTTTATGAATTCAAATAATACTACTTGACATCTTGTTTTTGAAAAGGAATTTCTTGATCTTTAGGAAAATTATCTCATAAGCTAATACAAATATCAAATCCTTTATTTTAGACTATCAAGAACTTTTAAAAGACTTTCAAGAATGTGCTTCAATATTCATTATTAAAACAAGATAATGAGAGTAAGGAGAGAGATTCACACAACAATCTATATTTGTTCACTTTCTTCATAAAGTTACACTCAATCTTTCTTGATCAACCCTTGATCATAGGTCGTTCACTATAAACAAAAGAGTAATTGCAAACGAGTTAGTTGATTAACTTTAGATCTAAAACATTCCTATAAATTTTACAAAAACTCTCTGCTAAATTTCTAACTAGAAAACCCTTCTCTAATTTGTAAACTCAATAAATCTTATCTGGAAATACCTTTTTCTTGCATGGAATACAAAAATACAACAAGAATAGGAAGAAAACAACAAATCAACCTTAATTGATTATAATGAAGACAGAATTGAGCGACAATGTAGCTTTCCCCTTGTTCTTTGGTGATCCTTTTTCAGTTTTGTGCCTAGAAAACATGGTTTGATTAATATAATCGCGAGAGAAATAATTGTTCTTGCGTATGAACAATCAAAAATATGTTGGACATGTTAATCATATTTTATCAAGTTGGATATGATTAATTTTTTAAATTTATTTAGCCTTTTTTATATATAAAAGAACAATAATTAGTAACAAAATATAGATGGTGTAATATAGAATGTACTCATAATGATCAATAAAAGGTTTTTAATTTGTTGAGTTTATATAGAAAAAAATTACACTTATGTAATTGATTATATTGATCATGTAACGATTACATTGATCATAGTTGCAACCTAGAAACAAATAAGAAATTAACTTATTTTGTTACATGACTTCTTCTTGATCTTTTTGACTTCTTTCATCATCATAGAAAAGTCAAAAAATCATGACATTCATCTTTGACATCTTCCTCTTATTTAAATTACAACAAAGTGGACATCCATCTTCTATGAAATGGTGTGTCAAAGAGTTCTAGGTTCATCAAAGTAGTCATGGAAATACCAAAAGGATGAAATGAAAAGGCAATAGATGATCCATCATAATATTCTAAGAAGAGTTATGTTATATCTTTCAACAAAATTGTTCAACTCAGTAACAAATTCACATTTGTCATTGATTTTCTGTATAACTTTAATCATGTATTTGCTCAATTTAAAGATGTCAAAGTGAGTCAAATTAATTCACATAAATTAGTTCATCACTTATTAATATTTTAAATAAATCAATTCAATTTATATTTTCAATTTATACTGAATGTCAATTCATCAAATTTTTGATGTGTTTTAATTATCATTTAATTTAAAAAAAAAATCAATTGAACATAAAAATTACAAATAATTATTCTTTAATTTGATAGTTGAAAATATGTGAAACCACATTTTCTCTTTAAAAGTGTGTGCAACAAAAGTTTAAATTATAAAACAAACAACAAAGTGAGTCTCCTCTATGTATAACTACAACATCCATATTTAATGTGAGAAGTGTTACACGTGGTTCATAAAGTGAAACGATTACTGCAAGTGCAACATTGAATTACTACTTTTGAAAGTCCTCATCCACAGAAAAAGAAGATAAGATGTGTCTTTGTGTGCTCTGATTCTGACTCCACATGGCTGTTGCCATTCCATCCTTCTCTCTTTTATTTGAACTTATAATTGCAATTAATCATTATAATAGCTGAAACAAATCATAGATTCCTCCTAGTCCTGTCCCATTAACTTTCATCTTTCTAAATCAGATAAAAACATTTAGGAGGACAAGATGAAGATAATATTATGTTGCTACAACTCTAGACAGTGTTAATCGGTAATCAGAAAAAGGAAAAAAAATAATAATAAAGAATCAACTGTTCCTGCGAAATATCAAGCTGTCTTACAATTATTCTAGTATTGCTAATCAATGTATGCAGGAGAGAAAATGCCACTTGGCACGGCTGGTCAGAAGTGTGAAACCATGTTTGTGACACTTGTGAACTTTTTTCACTTTTATATACCCCTAATGCACCCTCTTTTATTTTATCTTCATAATTAATCATTTAGAATATTTTATTAGAATATTTTAAATAAAATATAGAGAATATTTAAAAAGGTTTTTTTTGATAAAAAATTAAATTATCAATATTTTTATCATTTTCTTTCATCACACATGTGTTTGTGTCGTTGTGCGTAGGGATGACAATGGGACCACGGGGACAGGTAATAGTAAACCCGTCCCGCCCTACTGGATGAAAATTGGCCACATATCCATTCCATATTTGCGAGAGTATCCAATAAGCAGGTATCATGAATTTCTTAAATACTCACGGATATCCACAGATATTTATAAATCTTTTAAGAAATTAAAAAAAATATTATAAATAATTTTAAGTTTATATCTAATGTTATTAAAACATTAAAAATAAAAATTAAATGTTAATTTTGAACTTGTATTTAACGTTAATTTTGTTGAAATAATAATAAAAATGCAAGATAGTTAATAATTTAAAATACATCAATCCCACAAGTAAGTTAAAATCTCATCATAAAACTACAATAATTCAATCTCATAATTCCAAATGAAAGTAAACAACTTAAAATACATAAATCTTATTGGTCCAATCAATGCTAAAAATTTAATCAAATTACATCCAACATCATTTTATAACATGCTTAACACATGATAACTTTATCAACCTCACTTTTGTAAGAAAATAAGATGAGAGAGTAATGAGTATAATTTCAGGGTTATGTGGTACAAGGATAATTAGGATATTTAAGAAATATTATTAAACGGGTACCCGCGTGTATGGATATCATACCACCCGCCCCCGTCCCGTTTATAAACGAGTAAAAAATTATTCATTCCCATTGTTTGCGGGTACCCAATTAGTCTATTCATTTATTATTCGTAGCGGGTTTTACCCACATATACCTGCGGATACATATATTTTTGTCATCCCTAGTTGTGCATGAGTGTACGTTAGTGTACATATGTGTGCATGAGTTATCTCCCTCTTACATTAATTTTTATTTTAATTTTAAATTTTAAATTTTAAATTTTAATAATAAAAAAATAAGTTATTTTTATCATGTAAATTAAAAAAAATCATAACATATTTAAAAATGGATTTATTAATTTATTTAAAATTAAATTTATTAACACATTTATTATTGTTAATATAAAACAAACTTTTAAGTAAATTAATTCGTCAAGTCAAACTTTTAAAATGATTAAACCAGATTTATAAAAAAATAATAGGTTAATCTCAAACTTTAATTTTATAAAATAAACTTGATTTATTTATTCATAATGTAATATGGTCATCCTGTACATGTACATTTTGAAAGTAAAAATAATATTAAAATTTAAAAGTATATTAGAAATATTTAAGAAAATTATAATATGTTAAAGTATAGAATTAAAAACAAATTAATGAATTGAAAATTAAAACTAATATTAAAATAATAAAAAAATGTTATTCATAATATATTAAAAAATTAAAAATAATTTATAAGTAATTATCTTATTTATATAAAATATTAAATATATTACTTAATTAAATTATTCACTTAAAAATAATATAATTATTTTTATTTAAATATTTTTATTATCTTAATTAACATCATTATGTGGGTATTAAACTAATTAGTTAATAATAAAAATTAAAAATAGAACATTAAAAATTAAAATAATCCAAAAAATAACTTTAAAATAAAAACTAAAAACTAAAAACAAGACGGTTATATTTAAAAATTTTAAAATATATTTAAACTAATAAATTCTTTTTATATTTTTACCATAATATAAGCAAAGGATAAAGAAGAGTGTAGATTTTTGTAAACCTGTGTTGGGTTCACCGTCTTGACCCACAAAACAAGGGTCGCTTTAACCGCCAGTTTCCAAACAATCTATGGGGCGAGGCGGGAATTGAACTGCACCAACAACACAACACCGCTTTTACTTTTCTTTTTTTTCTTTGTTATAACTTACACCACTGTTACAAACAAAACAGTGTCACAATACCATGCCACATGCCCCTAGTTTTCAAACTTCCATATTATTCTCTCTCTCTCTATTTATACAACTATCATCTCCATTTTTCATCCTCACCCTCATGCACTTTTGCACTCTTATTATTCCTAATACCAATTGTCTTTCTCTTTAAGTCAAACCACTACCATACCACAGTTTCTCAATTCCGGGATTTTTTATTTTTTTTTATCTCCTTGGATGTGTTATTTTCAGTTTAAAACATGATGCAAAAACTAAACTTGAGAAGGGTCATTGCCAAGAAAAGGAAGCAATTTCCTAGAAGGGTTAGGAGACCTGTGCTGAGTGTTTCAAACACACTTCAGCAGCTATCTGATTCATGCAGAGAAGCTTTCAAAGGTCCCGGCACTGTTCCTTCCCCACAAGATGTTCAGAGACTGCGCCACATCCTTGGTATGATGAAATATTATGATGATATTTGGTGGGGTTGGATAAAAAAAGTTTGTTCTGTTTTTTGATCCATTTAGTGTTTTGGGGTCTCAATTTTGCATATGTTTAGATATTTTTGGTGATTTCTTTTTCGGGTGATGGCCTGTGCATTTTGAGTTTGACTTCTAATTTCTCGATTTGCATAAATTGTCTTTGGGGCATATGTCTTAGTTTTGCCGATTCATATTTTTTAGTTTTTAATATTCATTTATTTTATTTTTCTTTCTTTCCAACAAGAAGAAATTGATGATATAACTTTAGTTGTGTAATATAGATGTAGAAAGTGGTTGCAAGGTGTGGTTTGAGCATTTCCTGACACCTAACAGTTTGAAAACTTATGATATGCATTTTGTGGCTTTACAAATTATTTTTTCTTGGACTTCAGGCATTTAATTTGATATTGATTGATTTGATTCCTGGTTTTCTATTCATTTGGAAATGTTGTTCTGATTCTTTCATATTTTCAGATAATATGAAGCCAGAAGATGTGGGACTTAGTAGAGATCTGCAGTTCTTCAAGCCTGGAAATATTACCAAAGAGAATCAAAGGGTCACTTATACAACCGTGTGCAAGTGTGACAATTTCTCAGTAAGTGTTTCAGTCTCAATCTCGTGGCTCCCTAGTCACAAACACTCACCACTGCAATTGTTACTTAATTGTTAGCTATGACTTATGTGTTTAATTAATTTATGGGCACATTTTTTTGTGCAGCTCTGCATCTTTTTCATACCTGAAGGAGGAGTTATTCCTCTTCATAACCATCCAGGAATGACTGTTTTAAGCAAGCTTCTATTGGGACTAATGCACATTAAATCCTACGATTGGGTTGATCCTGAGACCTCTAACAATTTATTGCAACAACCATCTCAATGTAGGTTCTTTCTCTATTGTTATCATTTTACAAATGACCATGAATTGATGGAGTGTGTAAATAGTTCTTGAAAGTTGACCCATACAAATCCTGTTTTTGCAGTGAGATTGGCAAAGTTAAAAGCTGATAAGGTGTTCACAGCATCATGTGATGCTTCTGTGCTGTATCCAACAACAGGAGGGAACATCCATGAATTCACAGCCATAACCCCATGTGCTGTGCTTGATGTCATTGGTCCTCCTTATTCCAAAGAAGATGGTCGAGACTGTTCTTACTACAGAGATCACCCTTATGCTTCTTTTCCTAGTAAGTAACTCTCCCATTGCACACAACCATTACATGTAGACTGTTGGCAAACCACATTTATATTGTTTGCAAGTATGCATTTTTTCTCCAATTTTCATTACAAATTTTTGCTTTAAGGACAAAACTTGTATAGTTCTTTGATGTTATTTTCCTGTTATAATTGAATTGAAGTTCCATTTCAGTATAACACAGATTACATCAAAGATCAAATAAGTTTAAGTTAACAAGGGAAAATTATAGTATCTCTTTAGATACCAGAAAGAGTTCTCTTTCTTTTCTGTCTTTTCCCCACTCAAAAATTTTTCTAAACTTTATTCAAGCATACCCTTGTTAACATGGGAAAACTTCGATTGCAACTAGAAAATAGAATAGCATCTGCATTTAATTTTTGTCCTTGTTTTTAAAAAATAAACATGGGATAATTCAAATGTTTCAGTTGCTCATAATTCCTCCTTGTACTGTGAAGTTTCATCAATGTAGATTAGATTCTTAAACGGACATACCGATTAAATTTGAAAAAGATATAAATGGGCAGAAACATTAAACAGTAGCAGATAATGTTAACATGAGATCCTATGTCTTGATTTGGGCATGCATGACTATTCCTCCACTTGTGGACTTTTATTGCAGTGTCTGAGGTTGTACAATTGTACATTATTTGGATGTCTCTGACCATTAATGATTTACCCTGCAGACGAAAGGACTGGTGAGGCAAAAGAGGAAAATGATAGTTACGCGTGGCTGGAAGAAATTGAGATGCCAGAGAAGTCTAAAATGGATGGCATCGAGTACTTGGGTCCAACTCCAACACCCTTTTAGTTTTCATCATGTGTTCACCCTCTTAAGTCTTAACGCCACAAAATCTCCCATCACTTTGGCTCTGTGTCCATATTCAAGGAATGAGTGCACGTGTTGCCTTTTGTTCCTTTAGGTGGAAAATGCACCTATATATATAATATATATATATATAAATCGCTCATTTTTGCTATATAACTTTATGAGAGCCATTGTTGTCATGTATAGAAAAACCATGGGCCTTAGGTGGTTCACCTGTCAATCAAGTAGGAGTTTTGGTTTATTATTTGGCAAAGGGTCTATAATGGTAACTTTAACGGAGCAAGTGGTGAAGGTTGACTCACTTTTACGAGACAATGGTCAAATTTATGCTTTTCACGATATGTTTCTGGAAAATTAAAATAATAATTTATATGCTAATCTAATCACAACCATACATAATTATTACAAATAACCACTTTAAAAACTTATATCAATAGTGATTTTTTTATTAATTAATTATATAACATTATTTTACGCCAATGGTGTATAACTGGCTATTTTGTAAAAAGAAAATATTATAGTTGATAGTTTTAAATTGGATTAGTGGTTGAATCAGTCAAAATATTAGTTTTTAAAAAAAAAATTGTTAATTGTTTTAGAAAAATGTAATAGTTTATTTGTGGTTGAATTAGAATTAATAAAATATGGATTAAATAACAAATAGATTAATATTAATATTTTACACGGTTTTAACTTGTACATATAAAATTTAGAGGAGGAATTTAATATTAAGTATACTTAGATTTATTTCACTTAATAATTTTTTTTTATATAAGAGTAAATGTCTTTATTTAAAAATGTTTAAGTTAAAAAAAATTGTGTGACAATTACTTTTATTTCTCTTGATGTAAATCATCTCCTACCAACACAATATACATATACATGATCACAGGGCTAAAAAATAAAATAAAAATTGGAAAATAAATTACATTACTCCACTAAATAATTTATATTATACATCAAGTATTCATCCGATCAATTAAAAGTCTTTAATGTATAGATTAAATTCATAAAATTTAAATAAAAATAAAAATTATTTCATAGTCCATTTTATTAATTTAAATTGATAGATAATTATAAAAATATTTTATATAATGATTTAAATTAATAAATGAAGTATTAAATAATTTTTAAATTTTTTTAAAAAATTATATTTAATTTATGTATTAAGAATTGTTAAAATTTAATGTAAAATATGATATATATTAACAATTATTAAAATTTAATGTATAAGTCTTTAATTATAATAAGTAGAATATTTGACTAAAATTTAAATAAAAATATGTTATGGTACTTAAGTCTATTTTAATAATACATATCAATCATTATTTAAAAAAAATAATACAATCAACATGTAATAATAAAAAGTTTATATTTAAAACAAATAAAAAGAAGAATTTTTTTTATTTAATTTCTTTGAGTTTAATTTTTTTGCCAGCTTTTTAATCGATTTCATGGCTTTTCTTAATCTATTTTTGACAAGTTTTTTTTCTTTGATTGATTTTTTCTAGGTCAATATCATATAAGTTTCACTATCTTTATCTATGTCTTTATCCCTATTTCTATAATCTATGTCCATCTCTATTGAGTATCGAGTATATTTGTATTTGTCTCATATCCACATATTTGTCTCGTATCCACTCAAAAATTAATTAAATACTTTTTTATAAAAGAAATATTAAAAAGAGAATTTCAATATAGAATAACAATTACAAAATTACATTAATTAAGTATCATTTAACATAAATTTAAAATAGAGTAAAAATATATAAATATCAAATACTTTTTAAAAAATAAAATAAATTTTTAAAAATTTAAAAGCGAATACAAATATGGGTACGAGATAAGTATGCGTATACCCCATCCCCATACTCGATTTAATAAATCGAGTATTACTTGTACTTAATCAAATTCAATATTTTTTTTATCAAAGTCAATACAAGTTTGAGCATTACCTACGAATGAGTTTACTTACCATTTCTAATTGTTGTGATATATTTGAATCGGTATCTTGACTTATTCACTTGTTTAATTGAATACTTTAGTCTGATTTTCAAAATGTTGATTAAAATTACCATGTCATCATAACTAATATTTTATTATTAGATAAATATTTATTTATATATTTAGTATTTTAGTCTTCTATTGTAGAAGATAAAATAATTTCTAATGTAATTATACACAATATAAATATATTTTTTAAATTTATAAATTATATTATATTTATTAATTATAATAAGTAAAATTTAAATAAATAAATTTTATTTAGAATTTAACTTGTTCGTTC